AAACATGTAAGTTTTACGAAGGGAATGGGCCAATTTTTGCACTAGGGCCCTCTTGGGACGCATGTTGGAGGCTTTCTTGGGGCCTCTTGGGGGCGTTCCTTGGAGTCATGGTCTCCCTGGGCCTCTTGAGGGGGCTCCTGGGGGCTCTGGGGGGCCTCTTGGGGCGGAAGGTCTCGAAGCTTGAGTTCGTGGTCCCCTCTGGTCCCCTTTCTTGGGCCCGTCTTGGGGCCCTCTTGGGCACATCTTGTGGCGCCTCTTGGGCCGTCTTGGGCCCTCTTGGGCTTCCTGGGGCCCTCCTGGGAAACTCTTGGGCGGTCTTGGGGCGGTCTTGGGCGCCTCTGGGCCGTCCTGTAACGCCCCCCCCCCACCCCCCCCCCCCCCCCCCTCCTCTCCCCCCCTCCTCTTCCTCTCCCCCCCCTCGGAAAGCCCAAAAGACAACTTTGTTGAAAATGTACGTTTTACCAAGGGAATGGGCCAATTCTTGCGTCTAGGGGCCCTCTTGGGACGCATGTTGGAGGCTTCTTGGTGCCTCTTGGGGGCGTCCTTCGACGTCTGGGGTCTCCTGGGGCCTCTTGAGGGGCCTCCTGGGGGCCTCCTGGCGGCCTCTTTGGGCGGAAGGCTCGAGCTTGCGGGTCGTGGTCCCCCTCTGGGCCCCCTCTTGGGCCCGTCTTGGGGCCCTCTTGGGCCATCTTGGGCGCCTCTTGGCCGTCTTGGGGCCCTCTTGGCTGTCCTGGGGCCCTCTTGGAAGCTTCTTGGGCCGTCTTGGGGCGGTCTTGGGCGCCTCTTGGGCCGTCCTGTAACGTCGGAAAGCCCAAAAGGCGACTTTGTTGAAAATGTACGTTTTACGAAGGGAATGGGTCAATTTTGCGTCTAGGGGCCCTCTTGGGACGCATGTTGGAGGCTTCTTGGGGCGTCTTGGGGGGCGTCCTTGGACGTCTGGGCCCTCTTGGAGGCCTCTTGGAAGTTTCTTGGGCCGTCTTGGGCGTTTCTGGGGCCGTCTTGTCTGACCGGGGAGGCCTCCGGCAAGCCCCGACGAGCCTCCGGGGCCCCCGGGGTGCACATTTGCGGTCGAGGTCCCGGCCCCGGGCCCCCGGACCCGGTGCGCCGTTATATGTATATTTATTATGTAAATTTATCTATAAAGTCAACTTAACGTTTCGTTAAGTGCAGCACGTGCATTATCTTAGACTTACCTTCGATGTGTCTTAGATATGTCTTAGATGTGTCTTAAATTTATATTAGACTTATCTTAGATGTACATTCGATTTATAATGGATTAACGTGTCAATACTAGTGTTAGGATTCTCATATTATTTCAGATGTATCGCAGACTTATGTTAGATTTGTGTTAGATTCATATCAGATTTGTGTTAGATGCATGTTAGAGTCAACTTCGATTTATGTCAGATGCACCTTAGATTTAGGTTCGATGTGTAGTGGATGTGGCTGGATTTGAACTTGAACGACAATAGATAATTTTAGACACATATCTATATATAGATATGTGCTGGGTCATACTGTAACGCGACCACATTACATTGTAAGTAAGATGCATAGTGGAATCGTTTCACATGTATGTTGGAGTCACTCGGGGCCACGTTGCCCATGTAGCGTTTAGAAGAGCAGGGGAACGTAGTGTGCTGTACGCGTAAGCAACTCGACGTAGATGCATGTTACGTTTCAAGTGGACTCCGCTTTGGAGAGGTACCAAAGAGGTCCCAGAGTCCCAGAACGTCCAGAGAGGCCACAGAGAGGTCTTAGAGAGGACCCAGAGAGGTCCCAGAGAAATCCCACATAGGCCCCAACAGAGGCCCTAGAGAGGTCCTGGATAAGTCCCAGGGAGGCCCCAGAGAGGTCCCAGAGTCCCAGAAAGGTCCCCAGAGAGGCCCCGTAGCAAGTTTGGCTCAAAAGATTCAAAGGCGACTCGGCATGTCTCGCAAGCCTCGCGAGTCCCCAAACCCAAACGTGGACCAGGAAACGGTAACAGCCGTTGTTGATGAGTTCAAAGCAGGTCGCGCATGGTCAGATCTGCTTGGAAGCCTTGCTCACGCGACGCACGCTGTCACTCCACCAAAGATGGTATGTTTCCTCGGGCCATTCCTCAAGTCGTTCTTGAGTATTGGGTTTAATAACTGTGTCCGTCCAGTTGGGAAACTTAGTGGGTGTCAGATGTTACAGAACATATCCGCTTGGTGTTTTCTATGTTGAGGCTTCTGAAGATGGATGACATAGCGGCTACAACAACGCCCAATGGGCGCCGCCGCTACCCGAAAACTAACACTTTCAGGCGCCAAGCATCAGGAGCAGATAACATCATGATTTCAACAATGACCGATCAAGTTTCGTTGAAAGGCTTGGAGGACGCTTCGGACGCTGCTTCCACAGTCTCGATGCCCTTGCGCGACAAGGGCAGCGACTGTGCAACCGCAGTCGAGGACATGCAACCAGCCCCGCTACCAGATTCTTGGTCAGCCCTAGCCCCGCCAACAGATTCTCGTTCAGCCCTTCCATCTCACTTCAAGAAGATGTTTGCTACGCCAACCGTCAAGCTGGACGTGCCGATGAAGGAACCGCCTGCTGTCGACCACGCGGGAGACATGGCAGACGACGAGGGCTTGGGCGCGGACTCCGAGGACCCAGATGGCGGCGGCACGCCAGCCGACAGCTCCTACGACAAGCTCGGCGTGTTCATTGGCTCTGTCGGGGGCAGCACGTTCCTCGCCGACAGGACTCAGGCGCACAGGCAGAGGGTGCTGGAGGCCAGCATGTGAAAATGCAGAGTGTACCCTGTCTCATATCAGCATTTGCGCCCTCGTTTTACTTAAAGTCATGTTATCATGTGTCTTTGTTCTAATGCCAGGGGGCATTCGTCGCAAGGGGGGCGGTGTCTGCTGATGGGGGGCGGGGTCCACCCGAGGCTCGCGGCCAGGCCAACCCGAAGACGAAACAGAAGAAGAGCTCGATGAAGAGCTCACCGCCTACCCCACATGTTACCAAAACCCCGCCGAAGGTGGGGCGTACCGCAAAGGGCTCGCCAGATTCGGTTTCGAAGCTGAGGGACCCTCGCAAAGCTGGCCCGACCTCCGAGACGCCTCCCAGGTGCGAGCTGACCGCCTTCGATGAAAATGGCAAGCGTGTGCACGTCTTCTCTACCACAAACTCCAAGCTATTCGGGACCATGAATAAGATTCTAGCCGACATGAAGAAAAACCCGATGACGAAGGCCGAGGCGCTTCAGATGCGAGATGCGGCATCGAGTGGTGCCAAGTGAGTTCTTGTGAGCCAGGGTTTAGTCTGTTACGCGGTAACACAATGTTTTTCGAGGCAGCCATATCGCTTGAGGGGTATAGCGATGCTAACCGTTGGACCTCTTTCTGCTACTCTTCACAAGACCGTGATCCCGATGATTTGTCGTCGGCATGTGATATGTCCATTTCCTCCATCTCCTCCTCCTCCTCCTGGGTTTGCTAGTGCGCGGGGTTCAGATGGTAATGTTGCTGAGATCGTGCCAAGCAGCGAACGTCCATATAGCATTCACGCCACGTGCCAGATTTAGTCGGTGTCAGACTCACTTCAGGCTTACATAGCATGTTCTATGGATTACGATCGGTGTATACAATATTGTTTTTCTACAGGATTTCTATCAACTTTATATTAGATGTATGTAATGTATGTCTGGGACGTGTGGTTCAGCTTAGACTTATTTGAGGTCCCCAGAGCGCTGCTGTCATGATGCGAGGTCGCATCCAGCCCAGAATTGCGTTTGCATTGAATTCAGCTGGCAGCGTTGTTGAGACACGCACAAGCACACGCGCGCACGCACACGCACGCACGCACGCACGCACGCACGCACACACACACACACATGCACACACACACACACACGCGCACACACACACACACACGCGCGCGCGCGCACACGCACACACTCGCACACACGAACACACACGCACACACGCACACGCAAGCCACGCACGCACACACACACACACACACTCTCACACACACACACACACACGCACACACACACACACACACACGCACACACGCACGCACGAACACGCACACACACACACACATCCACGCACGCAGACGCACTCACGCGCACAGACGCATGCACATACACTTCCCTTGTGAGGTGTCACTGAATGCTTCGAGGTGGAGGTCGTATTTTGTCATAGCTGTTCTGGATCAAGGAGCAAGATTCCAAGCGTCCTTCAAGGCGAGCTCGCGTGCACTCCCGAACGGCTTCTGGGATGAAGCTCAGGCGCCCCGCGGCTGCGCTCAAGCGCCCTGCTACCGCGACTGAGGAGGAGGATGCGCCCGACTGGAGGATGGTGGCCGCTGGTACATCGAAGGCTACCCCTGCCAGGTTCTCGCCCGATACAGAAGAAGGCCAGCGAGTCGAGGAAGGGACCCCTGACCAGAGGCAGACTAGCTTGGCCCAGCGCCACGTCTTCAAGATGTCCCGCGAGTCGATCCCGCTCGACCTCGTCAATCGCTTCGACCACCTGAAGAGCAAGGAGTGCAAGATCCCAGGCAAGGAGCGCATGGCCAACGAGATAATCAACGCAGTTGTTCCCAGGGACGCGGGCTACGGCAGCTCGATCAAGCCCGACGAGATGACGCTGAGCAGGATCGTGACGCGCGAGAAGGTTGACAAGGATACTGTTGATTAAATTGCGCCTCCACAACCCCACGCTGCCATAACTTAATTAGCACTGGTTGTTTTTCGGAGGCTTAGCCTTTTCCATTGCGTTTCGATCGGCACCGAAACCATTGGACGCCTTTTGTTTGTCAGGGAGTAGATGCGACGAGGAGGAAGATGAGGGGCAGGAGGGGAAGGAGGAGGAGGAGGAAGAGTAGGAGGAGGAGGAGAAGGAGGAGGAGCAAGAGGAGGAGGAGGAGGAGGAGGAGGAGGAGGAGGAGGAGGAGAAGGGAATGCATTTTGATTCCCTCGCGAGGACAGTACCTCGGTCACTTCCCTTTCGAAGCGGATCATGATCAACACTATATTCAATAGAAATTCGCCCGAGTTTGAGGCTGCAAAACAGGATGGTGAGGTATGGTCAGACCCAGACGAGCCAGGCAAGTACGCGTACGATACTGCAGTCAGGAAGACGTCCAAGGTGACCTCGAACAAGCGGGTCGCGAAGGAGACGTTCAACCCGAAGGATGCCAAGATGTTCCGAGGTGGCATGGCCGACTTCATGCTTGAGGAGCCCCCGACCTGGAAGCCAATGAGGACCGAGAACAAAAGCGCTCGCAAGGCGCTCCACGACACGAGGGCCGACCAGAACGACTACACGTTGCTCCAGAACTGCAACGACGCCATGACCACCGTCACGCTGGCGCTCAAGCGCATGGGGCCCGAGGTGATGAGCTACGCCAAAGCTGATGTTTCCAGGAAGCTCGCCAAGGATACGATGGAGTTGCTGAAGAAGGCTGCTGCTTCTGGGAGAAGGTCACTGAGTACCTCATGACGCCGATTGGCGAGGTCACCAAACTCCAGGCGGAGGAGCCGTTGATTGCGGCAGGGAAATGCTACGAGGATCTCATGGCAATGCACTCCCAGTGCGCCAACCTGATCAAAACGGAGAAGAGGAAGTCCAACCAGGGCGGTGGAGGCTCCAGCGGCTCCAAGCTCGCTAAGATGAGCAAGGGGAAGTGAGCGTGTTCCGAAGTTTGCCAGCGCTGCAGCCTGCTAGTAGCAATAGGTAGAATGATAACGACTAGACTGAGGGTCATGAGGAGGACGAGGGTCCCCACGCTAGTAGTAATAGGTAGAATGATGACGACGACGACGCCGACGACGGCGACGGCGACGGCGACAACGAAGGCGACGGCGACGACGACGACGTGAGGGAATTTCTGCCCTCCCCGCGCGGGCAGAAATTCCCTCACGCCGACGCCGACGACGACGACGACGACGACGACGACGACGACGACGACGACGACGGCGAGGACGACGACGACGACGGCGAGGACGACGACGACGACGACGACGACGACGACGGCGGCGGGGAACAATTGGCAGCTCCGAGCCTGATCTTCCCAAGTTTGCCCTCCCCATCCTGAGGATGAGAAGGGGGAGTCCGGAACTCTCCGGAGATGACGCCTCCGGACGATCCTTCCGGACATCTTAGAATTATAGTAAAGATATATTAGATTTGTATTAGATTTATATTACGAGTTATATTAAATCTATATTAGGTTTATCATATTTTTGATAATATAAGGTAAATCTAAGATACATCTAAGATACATCTAAGATAAATATAATATGAATCTAAGATAAGTATAATATAAATCTAAGGCGAATCTAAAATGAATCTACGATGAATCTAAGATGACTCTAATACGAATCTCTCATGAATCTAGCATACCTTTAATCTACTAGTATTACACCTGTACGAGCACGATAAAGTTGAATCATGTATGAAGTGAATCTAAGATAAATCTAAACTACATCCAACTAACTTTAAGATTCGAGTGCCCACCCACCCTCGCCCCCTGGCAAAATCGACGTTCGGAGTGCAGACATGTCCCTTTCGGAGGTTAGCCTCGCTAGCTTAGACCAAGCACACATGATATACAAGTGCTACAAAAACGTAGCTATGAAGATGCTCCAGGCAGTTTCAACTGATTCCATGAGGAGTCTCTCAACGCATCTGGGTAGTGCGCGCTGCGAGCAGCATAAGCAGCGCTGTGCGCGAACGGCGCGCCCTCTCTCTCTCCTTCTCTCTCTCTCTCTCTATATATACATATATCCCTCCCCCTCTCTGTCACTCTGGCTAAGTGGCGCGCTCGGCTGGCGCATCGAGGGAGTCCGCCCGTGCCCATGACGTGGGAGAAATGCAATCGCCGCCTTCCTGCACCAATGTTTCATATCGGATGGCCAACTCACGTCGAATTCGTTCCCTGGACCGCTCCTGCAGCGTATTCCGACCAGGATTCCGAGTCAAGTCCAGCCGTGGCGATGAGGCACCGCCCCCGCCCCACCCTCCAAAAAAAGAAGATCCATTGCAAGTTGTTCCTCCGTTTTCCCTGGTCCACCTTCTCTTCCTCCTCCTCCTCCTCCGCCTCCTCCTCCTCCTGTAAGCATTTAGGATGCAACGAAAAGTGTTGCTCCCTCCACCCCAGCGCCCAAACCATAAACATCCAACAACCGCCCCAGCGCCCAAACCAGAAACACCTACCAATAACCACCCCAGCGCCAAAACCAGAAACAGCCACCAACAGCCACCCCAGCGCCACAGCCATAAACATACACCAACAGCCACCCCAGCGCCAAAACCAGAAACAGCCATCAACAACCACCCCAGCACCAAAACCAGAAACAGCCATCAACAGACACCCCAGCACCAAAACCAGAAACAGCCATCAACAGACACCCCAGCGCCAACGCCATAAACACACACCAACGGCACCCCAGGGCCAAAACACGAACAGGCGGAGGAGGAGGAGGAGGAAAGAGGTGGGAACAGGATGATGTGGAAAGGGAGCGATAATAACGCTAGGTGCACGAGAGGGCACGTTACTTCACAGCCTCTTTGCAGTGACATCAGTCGGTTCTGATCGGGGGCAGGGGGGCAAGGGAGCGATCTGGCATGTTGCTTCACTTCCCCTTTGCAGTGACGTCAGTCAGTTCTGATCGGGAGCATGGGGGGGCACGTTACTTCACAACCCCCTGGCAGTAACATCAGTCAGTTCTGATAGGCAGGAAGAGGAGGAGGAGGAGAAGGATGAGGAGGAGGAAGAGGAGGAGCCTTTTCAACAACAACAACCACAACAACAACAACAACAACAACAACACCAACAACACCAACCACCACAACAACAACCACAACAACAACAACAACAAGGCAAAACAACCTGCTGGTGTACCCGGAGCCGGTCCACCAGTTCGCTGTTTTGCTCCATGTAGCGAAACAACCCACTGGTGTACCAGGACCCCCCCCCCCCCCCCCCCCCGCAACGCAACGCAACGCAACGCAACACGGCTGTATGAGCAGCCTCTGTTGCGTTGTGTTCCGTTGCGCGGGCAGGTGGGGGGTGTGTGACCCTACGGGAGCTCCCACTGTATGGGATCCCCTACGGATCCTAGACGGACTGTATAGGATCCCATACGGATCCTATACGGACTGTATGGGATCCATACGGATCCTATACACGGATCTGTATGGGATGCCCCATACGGATCCTATGTACTGGAGTATGGGATTCATACGGATCCTATACGGACTGTATGGGATCGCATACGGATCCTATACGGACTGCATGGGATCCCATACGGATCCTATTCGGACTGTATGGGATCGCATACGGATCCTATACGGACTGCATGGGATCCCCTACCGATCCGATACGGACTGTATGGGATCCCCATACGGATGCTATGCGGACTGCACGGGGTCTCATACGGATCCTATAAGGACTGTATGGGATCCCTTACGGATCCTATAAGGATTGTATGGGATCCCCTACGGATTTCCTAGGGTCGGATAAGGATTGTATGGGATCCCCTACGGATCCTATCCAGACTGTATAGGATCCCATACTGTATAGGATCACATACAGATCCTATACAGACTGTATGGGATGCATCCATCTAGGATCTATTTAGCAGGATCTTCAGTATGGATCCCCTACGGAGCCTATACAGACTGTATGGATCCCCCTACGGGATCCGATACCAGACTGTATAGGATCCAATTTACGGATCCTATAAAGACTGTAGTGGGATCGCCCCTACGGATTCCCTTGATCTAGACTGTATGGGGTCCTGTACGGATCCTATACGGACTGTAGGTGGTTCCCTCCCCCTCCCCCCCAATACGGATCCTATACGGCCTGTATGGGATCCCATACGGATCCTATACGGCCTGTATGGGATCCCATACGGATCCTATACGGCCTGTATGGGATCCCATACGGATCCTATACGGCCTGTATGGGATCCCATACGGATCCTATACGGACTGTATGGGATCCCATACGGATCCTATACGGACTGTATGGGATCCCATACGGATCCTATACGGACTGTATGGGATCCCCTACGGATCCTATACGGACTGTATGGGATCCCATACGGATCCTATACGGACTGTATGGCATCGCATACGGATCCTATACGGACTGTATGGGATCCCATACGGATCCTATACGGATTGTATGGGATCCCCTACGGATCCTATACGGATTGTATGGGATCCCCTACGGATCCTATATAGACTGTATGGGATCCCCTACGGATCCTATACGGACTGTATGGGATCCCCTACGGATCCTATACGGACTGTATGGGATCCCTTACGGATCCTAGACGGACTGTATGGGATCCCCTACGGATCCTATCCAGACTGTATAGGATCCCATACGGCTTCTATACGGACTGTATGGGATCCCATACGGATCCTATACGGACTGTATGGGATCCCATACGGATCCTAGACGGACTGTATGGGATCCCCTACGGATCCTATCCAGACTGTATAGGATCCCATACGGCGTCTATACGGACTGTACGGGATCCCATACGGATCCTATACGGACTGTATGGGGTCCCCTACGGATCCTATACGAACTGTATGGGATCCCATACGGGTCCTATACGGACTGTATGGGATCCCTTACGGATCCTAGACGGACTGTATGGGATCCCCTACGGATCCTATACGGACTGTATGGGATCCCCTACGGATCCTATACGGACTGTATGGGATCCCATACAGATCCTATACGGACTGTATGGGATCCCTTACGGATCCTAGACGGATTGTTCTCGCTTGGGTTCCCGATGGGGCGCTCTGGAGGTTCTGGGGGGAGGCGCCGTGAGAGGCGGGGCCCGAGGCCTCTAGAGGCTCGTCCTCCTCCTCCTCCTCCTCCTCCTCTACATCCTCCTCGTCCTCCTCCCCTTCCCCCTTCCCCCCATCCCCCTCCTCCTCCTCCTCCCCCTACTCCTCTCCTCCTCCTCTCCTCTCCTCCTCCTTCCTCCTCCTCTCGCCCTCCTCCTCCTCCTCCTCCTCCTCCTCCTCCTCCTCCTCCTCAACTCCGCTCCTCATCCGCTCCTCCTCCTCCTCACTCTCCTCCTCCTCCCCCTCCTCCCCCTCCTCATCTCCTCCTTCCTACTCTCCTCCTCCTCCTCCTCCTCCTCCTCCTCCTCCTCTTCCTCATCTCTCCTCCTCCTCCTCCTCCTCCCCCTCCCCTTCCCCTCATCTCTGAGGCTCATCCTAGGAAACCCTCTTGTAAGCCTCCATATAGGAATGTCTATCATGTGGGAACGTGTAGGGGTCCTATAGGAATCCTATGGAACCCTTTAGGGGTCTTTTGGGGGGTCCTGGGGGAGCCCTATAGAACCCTGTACGGGGCCCTGTACGCCCGCGGGGGGCGCGCGAGGGAGCGTTGCGTTGCGTTGCGCTGCGTTGCAGCGGGGGGGGGGGGGGGGGAGGCCGGTCCGCCAGCTAGTGGTTTCGTCAACAACAACAACACCAACAACAACAATACCGATGTGAATAACGGCACTTGCATCACAGTGACGCAACGAAGGTAGCAGTCGCAAGTACATTGCGAAGCTGTAAGCTGTAAGGTCTACATGTTGCCACGAATCCCCTTTTCGTCAATTCCGTGTCACGTTTATCCTCAAGGAGGGAAGCTCAAACATGGC